ACGTTAGCAAATATTAGCGATTTTTTGCAAACATTTCTTTGAGTAACATGACCGTAAATATGAGCTCATGATTGAATGTAACATAAAACAAATTATTACTTTTCTTTAAAATCTTTATTAATGCCAAAAATGCTTACATGTATGTGTCTTTTTGTTCACTCGGGCAGCCATGTTGCCCCTGAAGCCGGTTTACACTGAAATAATTCATACCCCTTCATTTGAAGTGAGGTCCCGAAAAATCTTCGTTTGAAGTGCTATCTGGTCCTTCCCCTTACCCCTACCCCTCCAACCAAAAGAGAATTGAGACACCCCTACCCCTTCACGTGAACACGCCAAATGGAGGGGTAGGGGAGAGGGGAAGGGCTAAGGGGTAGAAATGGGATTGGGCCTTATTCTCTTTGTGGAGGGTGTCAATGATTGTCTTCTGGACCATTGCCAAGTCAACAGTCTTCCCCTTTATCAAACTTCCTATATCCGGTAGGTGAAGCAGAGTATCACCACTTCCGGTCCCATCACAACGCAATTAAAACTAATGGGCAAATCCTCTCTTTCCTTTCTTTCTTTCTTCTCTCACCGGTGTTACTCCGTTAAAGCCTGGCTGCTTTTATTCTAAACAACGACATACTGCCTCAGTTTTCACGATTTCCTGACACAACACGGATGAGATGCGTGAAATGAATTAAGGTCCTTCTAAAATATTACGTGGGAGCACGTTCGCGTGGAGTAACGTAACTGTTATGCATTTCGAAACTGAGGATGTTTAGGGCTACATCTCATATCACCTGTCGAAATGTGCCTATTAATATATTTCCCTTCCAAATGTGCATTCTGAATAAATACATTTATTTCCCAACTAACCTACTGCGGTCAAGTTCGTCTTCTCATTAACAATGTTTTTCTCTTACTGATCATATTTCATACCCGTCAACACCCTTACAAAAATTAACCATGGTTTTACTATAGTAAATATGTAGTAACCATATTTATTTTTTTCTGCGTATTGATTTCCATTTGTATTGCCACAGTTTTACTGCACATACCATGGTTAATTTTCGTAAGAGCAGTATTAAAATAGATGAATTGACACAGTGTTTTGAAATCGGTAACATTACGTTGGACTAAAACTACAAGTTCCATTAAGTTTGGAAAATTCTGTGCACAGTAATCATCAGACTATCTCTTCGCCTGTCTCTGAAAATGTCCGGATTTTGAAATCATCCTGCAGATGCTCATTTTAACAGGCTTTTATTCAACTAGGTGATTGCAGCATATTGAAAAATATACATAAGGGGAAGAATCGATGCAGTGCTTCGACGAGCACTTCCGGTAATCAATTCCGCTGTGATAAAGGTCTATTCGCGGGAAAACCGCGGACTTGGCAACCCTGACACGAGAGCGCGCTGCCGTGAGCACGCGCGATGCGCGCACCCGCTACACAGAACACCTGCCCGCGCAGCCGCGTCGCAGGACTAAACACGGCATTTATTTACCATTCTTGAAGGGAAACAAGCGTTGTATCTGGTTATTATTTTAAAAAGAAAACAAACTGCATGCACTAATCATTTTCGAAGGGCTAGTCTTGACATGAACAGGGTTCTGATGTGTGCACGCGTCATTAGCGCAGTGGAGGAGAGCAGGAGCGTCTGTCTGTGATGCGCTGCAGTCATTAGTTCAGTGTGTGAGAGAGAGAGAGAGAGAGAGAGAGAGAGAGAGAGAGAGTGTGTGTGTGTGTGTGTGTGAGA